CAGGATGAGGGGGAATGGCTTTAAACTAACACAGGGGAGATTTAGGTTGTATATTAAATGGGAATTTTTCACTCAGAGGGTGGTGAGGCACTGGAACAGGTTGCCCAGAGAAGTTGTGGATGCCCCATCCCTGTAAGTATTCAAGGCCAGGCTGGATGGGGCCCTGGGCAGGCTGCTCTAGTGGTTGGCAACCCTGCGCACAGCAGGGGGGTTGAAACTAGGTGATCTTTAAGGTCCTTTTCAACCCAGGCCATTCTATGATATACTCGAGAAATCTTAAAAGAATTAACTGAGCAGATTATATTTAAAAGGCTACAAAATTGTACTAAACTCTCTTTTGAAAGGAAAGACTAATTAATAAAGGGACAGCATGAACACAGGTTTATCAAATTATAGTTTATAACTAACATGGTACATTTAGGCAGCTAACATATCCAAAGCAGGACTAATGTAGTTTAATTTTTGTGCAACCCTTACTGGCACACAAGAGTGGGAGCATATAGTAGGTAACAGCTGGAAGCAACCATCAGCACAGTGGAGGTTCAGATCATCCCCCAGAGTATGCCTTACAGTTGCAGCAACAAAAATAAAGGAAAACAGCAGGAGTTGAAAGGTTATGGGTATTGTGATTCACATCAGTAATTTTTGGTGGTAGGGTTGTAAACAGGGTCATAATTTGAAAACTTCTTATAACTAGGACTCCAGGACCTCTCTGCTCCTAAATGACTATGATCCATCAATGTTAGTAACAACACCGGAAAAAAAAAAAAAGTTTTAGAATACATCATGAGGGAAGAAAGTCTCTAGCATTTAAACTAAAAATAAGTGGTTTAAGTTTAATCACCCATGCTCAAAAATATATTTAAACAGAAAAAGTACAGAGAAGGCAATGATATTCAGAAAGGAGACCTTATTTTAAACAGACTATAGGAACTGGTTTGCCTAGCCCACAAGATAAACCTCCACAGATGATGCTTACTCTTTTCAAATATATCAAGGACTTGGGAGTAAGGGGGAAAATTAACCAAACCAAACCAAAAAAAGTTGTTTAGAACAAACACAGTGAGGTAGGTACAAATAAATACACAGTGGAGGTTATATTTATGATCCATAAATGTGATTCTGTAACAGGCTTCCAATCAGAGTTGCCTTGTGCAACAGACATTTGACTTGCTCATTCACAATAGGAGGCACATGAGACTTTGTCACTTAAAAGCTCCCATTTTGAATATTGCATAAAAAGGGTGTAACAGGAAATCCCAATGCCCAGATCAAAAAATTGTCACCTTTTCTGGAACCCCTAGCTGTCTCAACATGCTGTCCCCATATCACCTACAGTGCACATACACTGTTTGCTCTGAGACACAGGGAGACACATAAAGTCTCTGTGAGGGGCACTACTCTGCAGACAGAAAATACACACATTATCCATAAAAAAAAATAAAATATAATTATACCTCAGTCATAGTCATAAAGCATTCTTACTATCTGAACACACTATAGCTTGGGATCTTTCCTCTGAATCTTTCTTCATTATTACTTTTCTGCAGCCTCTGCTGGTCCGTTGATCAAATTCACCGTAGTTCATTAAGCTTCCTTTCAGCTCTACTGAAGAAGTTGTAGCAAGACAGCATTATTCTGTTTTTTTCTCAGCTTAGGCTCTTCAAACACTAACCATCAGCACTTTAAAGCCACCCCTAAAAAAAGGAATGTCGCACCCAAAAGCTATTCTGTTTCAAAATCTGTTATTGCTTTTATACATACTTCTGCTGATAGTATTTCATGACAAACTAGCATTCATATAGATTTGTACTACACCAAGAGAACCTGAACTTCTATGAAGCAACCATTCAGTTCATGGACTGACAGATGTTGCAAGCCACATTAAATGCACTGTGCTACAGCAGAAGGGTGTGTTTGAGGCAAAAAATGTAAACCAGAAAACTT